TCCTGGATATAAAGAACAGTTCATGCAGTCTTCAATCAATTGACTGCTACATCTGTAAGTGATTTACTTAATATGCTATCTGAAAAAAAAAAATAGAATAAAACAGCAAACAAAGATAAGACTTAGTGAATGCAAATCAAAATGATCTGATCATGGGACTTAAGCTTTCAATTGAGAATCAAACCCAGGAACAAGAGATCTTTTTCAGGGTAAGCCAAATTTACTATGCAATAGGGCAATAACTGTTTGGAAATTGATGTATGTTTAGTTTCTGATCCAAAGAGCAGGGAAATGCATCCCAGTCTGTAGCTGAAGAATTTAAAAAAATTTCAGGGAAGTACACCTGCAGACCACCTTGGGGGAGAGGACAAAACTCTTGAGCATTGGGCAAAGTAAGTCAGGACCTCATGAAGACTTGAGCAATATTTCCATTACTAAAAAGTTTATGTTTGACAATGATTGTATTATTATGTCCCAGTCAATTCAAAGCTTCAACTTCCCCTCCCTCCCACGCTGGGCAACCTATGAATATTTGACCATCATCCACACCCAGGGGTGGGGAATTTGAATCTCGCCTGGCTGGGGTGGAGAATTTCAACTGGAAGTGTCCAGTCTTTCCAGTCAAATACAAGTGTTGTATGATTATTGAAATATGGAGATGTTTAAACACCAAGGGGCACTATAAAAGGAGAGGTACTACAGGTAGCTCTAAATCATTTGTCAATCAACCATGGTGGCATGCAGTCCTTTATATTCAAAACAGCTTGGGCTGCAGCCTATCCAAAGTGAGTGACAGCATGCAGATTTCTCAAAAGCTCTTGACTGATAAGTTTCTACCTTTTCATCACAATGGAAGAATTTGCCAAGGTTTGTATACCCTTCCTCTAATCAAAACCGTCTTCATTTGTAGCAGTGACCTTTAAATTCGAAATGACACCCTTTGCTATCACCCAGTATAACCATCGCACAATTTCAAGTCTGTTTCTAAATACTGGGTGTAGATGACCATAAAAATTAAAAGGAAAGACAAAGAAATAGTTCAAGGCCTTTCTTCAATAATGGTTGCCATATTGGATGATTACTGCATTATTTATGTACCTGACAGAAGAATTTGCATGATCCTCACAGGGTATCCCACTTCCAAACTCAGTCTCTGCTGCTGATGGTATTTTAGGTGCTTGTGGGGGTGAAAAATACTCTGGGGGTGGTGGACTGTTTACTGCAGGGAAGGTCTCTTGGGGAGGTGGACTGTTTACAGGGAGAACATCTTCTGGTGGTGGGGGACTATCCCTTGGTGAGAAGAACTCTGGGAGCGGTGGACTGTCCATTGAAGGGAAGTCCTCCTGGTGAGAGAGACTTTTTACTCCAGGGAAATACTCTGGAGGTGGTGGACTGTTTACCGAAAGACCAACGTTTGGGAACTGGGGACTATCCACTGGTGGTGGACTATTCACCGCAGGACCATCCTTTTGGAGTTGGGAACTATCCACTGGTGGAAAATACTCCGGAGGTGGTAGACTGTTTACTGCAGGACCATCCTCTTGGAGTTGGGGACTATCCATTGGTGGGAAATACTCTGGGGGTGGTGGACTTTCCATTGGATGGAGGTTTTCCTGGGAAGATGGACTGTCCATTGTTTGAACATATTCTAGGGGTGGTGGACTGTCCACTTGGGGAAAGTACTCTGGGAGAGGTGGACTGTTCATTGGAAGATCATCCTCTGGTGCCGAGGGAGCGTTCGTTAGTGGGAGATCATTCTGAGGTGGTGGAGAGTGTACTGGGGAGACACTTTCCAAAGGTGTAAAGCTATTCATAAGGCCTTGAGATTGTGCAAAAGGTTTTCCATCAGAGGACAAATTACCTGGATCTTCCACAGAATTCTGAAAGAGAGGAGGTATTTCATAATTTTCTCTGTTTCAAAACAAAAGAACTAAGCTCACAATTTTCAGTACCTTAGGAGGAATATCTGAAGCATCATAAGATGTTGGCTGAAAGTCAGTGCTGAAGAGTAAATCTGCCACATCACTGCAGTCACCAATATCTGCATCCTCTCTATTTCTTGTCCAATATTGTTCATCAATGCCTTCATTCTGTCCTTCAGTACCTGTTAGATCTATGACTGGCCCAGTACTGCTGTTGGTACTGTTCTTCCTACTGCAGCTTTTCTTTTTATAGTCCTGATTGTTGTTCTTTTCCATATGATTTTTACCATTCTGGTAAAAAAAATACAAAATTGTTAAATCAGCATGGGAATTTCTACCAAGATGTTTGAGTCACAAGATTATCTCTATTCATCATTGAATTGTGTATACTCAGGTCCATAACAGAAATGTTAAGACACGTGTCGGTGAGACTTCACAGGTTAGAGGCTCAAGTTATCAGATATGAACTATCCAAAATTTTAGAAAAAGGGAACTTTGAAGAGTCAGAAAAAGAACAATGTTTTGTCAACAAAATAAAAAAGAGATATATTTTGCATTTAACAGAGGGTTTTGAGTTATTTAGAATTATTTAATATCACTATGATAGTGATTATGAGCTGAAAGAAACAAACCACATCGAAATAGCAGGATCTGCAAGTTACATGTATTCAGGATTTGAGTAATCAACAGTTAAATTGTGCATCTAATTCAGGGGATACCAATTTTCTTTTCTCTTACTTGGCATAAGATCTGAGCTACAGAGGGTTTGAGTTACTGGGATTCAACTGTTTCATGGACTGCATGCTAGTAACCCTTACCTTGAACACAGAATTACCATTCAGTTTACGCTTCTTTGTAATGGGAAATTCTAAACGGAAAGGTGACATAGATGAGATTGGATGGAATTTCTTATTCACAATAGTCAGTGTAGTAATAAGAAAAAAACATATTCTCATAATTAGCTTATGAGGGACATGATTTAAAAAAGGTCCAGCCGTTATGACATAAAGTGGTTAATCAAACTGTTCAGTTTATAGTTTGTTTTATCTAGCATTGGAAACCTCATCTAAATGAAGTCAAATGTGGTAAAACAGATGCTATAGAAAGAAACAGGGAGGCAGGTTTGAGGCATGCAAAGTAATAGTATAGTGACAATAAATATTAATATTATCCACAGCAACAAAAATATACCGGCTGTGACTTGAAAGTCATTTTCATCATCCTCATTATTAGCATTATGCTTTGGATTTTGGAAAACCAGTTCCTTTTTAAGAGGTGCCACAGGCCTCCTTGCCTCTCCTGCTGATCTTGAATTTAATGTGCCACTCCCACTTGTTTTGAAAACACAGTTACTATAAAAAGATAAAGATCATATTTTAGTAACAATTATTGACAGACAATGTTTTGGATTTACATGCACCAAAAAACCTTTTAAGTGGGAGGACAAAGTATGTTACCAAGTCATCTTAAGGAACACTGTAAATAGCTGTTCATTCAAGTACAAAGTTGGAACTTAGACTCATTTAAAATTAGTTTTGAGTACATTAATTTAAATTTTAATGAATAATGACAACAACTTAATTACCGGTAAATGATAAACATTGGCATCCTGACACCATTTATTAGTGATGAGATCTTAGCTATTAGAAAAAACCTCATGAGTGAGACTAATCTAAGACAAAGCAGCTGTGAGGGTGGAGAGTTTACCTTGTGGATAAAAATGGTGTTACACGAGCAATCTGGCGTGATCCTGGTACTTCTGTACCATTCTCTTCAGCACACTCTCTATTCAGTTTATCAGAGAAACAACAAATGTATAAGTACAAAACATGCTACACAGTTACTGTGTTCGTCTCTAAAAATAATACAGATAACAGACTTTCAATTTATTTTACTACGATTGCTGGACAAAGATTGTAAAACCAATGAAATATCACCAAAAAAATTGTTCCACTTTTAGGCCCATATGAATGTATAATTTACTGGTAGAAGGCTTAAAGTGCACCTAAACCCAAAATTTTTTTTTCGCTTAACGAAATAAGCTTATTTTTTGGAGTATTTCTGTGCAAAAATTTTTTAATTTGCTCAAATCTTTAATTTTCTATGCCCAGTCAAAATACGGAAAATCAGCCGCCATCTTGCCCCACGACCGAGTTTAAAGAAGAATGGCTCTAGCGGGTAATGTGACGTCAAATCGAGAACACGAAAGTCTGCATCTCACACATTTTCACTTGTTTGGGAAGATTGTCGTCGATATTGTCCGAAATATGCCGACTAGGTGTGTTGTATGAAGAATGTATGAAGCGCGATACCCTCTTGCAAATTTCGCACGTTGCTACATCCTTCTACAACACACTTAGTCGGCATATTTTCGGACAATTATCGACTACAACCTTCCCAAACAAGTGAAAATGTGTGAAATGCAGACTTTCGTGTTCTCGATTTGACGTCACATTACCCACTAGAGCCATTCCTCTTTAAACTCGGTCGTGGGGCAAGATGGCGGCCGATTTTCCGTATTTTGACTGGGCATAGAAAATTGAAGATTTGAGCAAATAAAAAAATTTTTGCGCAGAAATACTCAAAAAAATAAGCTTACTTCGTTAAGCGAAAAAAATTTTTTGGGTGTAGGTGCACTTTAAGTGAGTGAACAGATGCCACCATCACAATTTTGCTTGAAGATTTGTAAGAACTTCAAGGACTATGTTGGACATTTTAACTGTATAGTTACCTACAATCCGATGATACAAGATTGCATTGACAATAACCTAGCCACATAACATTTTTTATTTGCCCTTGACTTTTAAACATTTTTATATTGGTCCTCTACTCTTAAACTTATAGACAGCCCTGGAAGTGAATAACAAATTAAAGTTTTTGTTTTGGAAAGGGGAAGGAGTAGTGACAGAGAAACTTAAAGTACCTGACAGTATTACCTGCTATTAATCCCTGTTATTCTTAATCCACTTGGAAATGATGTATTACCCTTCAAAATAAATAGATGAGTTAATTCATGTACATGTGCATTTTAAAGCTTCATTTTCTAATAGTTCTTAGCAAATGAGCCTTGGACAATCAAAACAGAGATGAAAAATGTCTGCTCATGTCAAGAATTTTCACAGAAACCAAAGCAACAGTGAGTAAAATGGTGAAATTTTGAAAACACTCAGAAAAAAGGTTTTCTGCAGTCTAATAAAGACATAAGTAGATTGGGTATGCTATGACCTTAACCAACACATCACTGAAACGGTTTTGCATGCACACCAAAGTTTCATAGTTGAACACTTATTGTCACCCAACATCAAACTGATGCGGTTTGATCACCAAAATACAGTTCATACAGTTACATCACAATTACATGTGTAATGCTTCCATAACTTCGCGATAACAGCATAATTAAAATAAATTTCAAGTTCTGAAGAAACCTTTTTCAAAAAGTTTTCCCAAGGTTCTGAAACTTATCTAACAATTACGTGTGCGTTGATATATAAGTGCAGTGACTCTACCTTTTCCTTCTGGCTCTTTTTGGAAATGAAATTAAATAATTGGCTGCAAAAAAAGACATACTTTCATTACTAAAATTTGACAGAGAGGAGATCTTGACGAAAAGATCTTTCTCTTACCCTTTAGTTTGAGTTTTATGTTTCTGTTTTGATGAAGACAGTGCAGAAGTCGAAGTCTTGTTGGCGGCCGAGCTTAAATTTTCTCTTCTTAATTTGCCAAGCTGTTGAGCGAGGTTGTTTATCGGAGGATTGCCAGGAGATATATAACTCTTGTTGTCATGAGATGACATCTGTTAGATACCTTACTAATTTCAAAGACGGTTGAGAATTGCACATGAAAGTTCTTTTGCAATGTTCGTTGTCGACCTACCTGCGCTCGCAAGCGGCGAGGATACTCAGCATATTTTCGCGCCAAAACGATGTGACCGCGTTTAACCGGAGAACAAAGGAGAACTGAATAACGTCCAAGTCAAGCTAGTACCCAGTTCTCCTGACCGATTAAAGATGGCTGCACCGTGAAGCTAGAAGTTGTGCAAGGATCATTTAGCTCTATCCTGCTTTATACTCTAGTTGTGCGAAAATGGAAACAGCTAGCAACAAAACATACAAGTCCAGACTATTTACATCAAATGTTCTCTTACAGAAAGATGAATTGGAGGAGGTAAGTACATTGAAAAATTGAAGAAAGCGGAAGAAGGGGAAATTGAACATACAAAGGTTGCGTGCAAGCAGCCTGTAGAGTACATCAGCTTCAGTTGATAATCTTTTTGAAACAGGTCACATATATTGCGTATGAGTGTATGAAATTTTCATTTTTTATGGGTCTCAAAAAGCTGTTGTTCTCTGATTTGTAGAGACTAGAGAAGTGTCATGGTCTTCTCACTTCTGTTGTTTCTAATCTGTCTGAAAATGAAGCTCATGATGCTCTCAATCAAATGGTTAGTAATCAGTGATGACATCACTGAATATTTCTACTATATATTTTATTTGCTGAGCTAAATGATAGCTGTATTTTGATTGGCTCTTATTATCCATTGGGGGACAGATGTCACCATTAACAACATTTTGCTTTGTTCATATAAAGCACCTATCAATGTCTTGCCCCAACCGGGGGAGTGCGGGTATAGCCAGGGGCTATTGACAATTTTCAAAAATTCTTGTCAATGATCCCCACCGTGGTGGTGTGTGTACATGTCAATGATGCCCCATCGAAGCTGAAAAAGTTGTGAAAGAATGACAGCTAATGTTTTATTTTCTTACCTTTTTAACCACGTTTTCAGCTGCATTTTTCGCCTCATCCACCATCTTGAAAGGTTTCCGACCCAGTCTATCCAGGTCAAGTATCAATAAAACCCGACCCTTGGGGGACCCTTATGTCAAATAAGTAAGCACATCCCCTCTCTCGGGACGTTTTTTTTTTTCAATAGCCCATACATGCCCACACTCCCCTGGTTGGGGCAAGACATTGATAGGTGCATAAAACAAATAGAATCCATGTTGCCATGGGTCTGTAGAGCAATAGACCACAGAAGAGATCAAAATGTGGTAAGAACATTAGTGGCACACTCAGCTGGGTCTTGTATGCACTGCATTTTGGCATCATTTGTGATCTACAGAGTATTACTGAACAGATTCAAAGCAACATGGAATCTATTTGTCGAATAGTCTGAAATGCTACTGGGAAATTTTAATTTGTTTAGTTAGCTAGGTTTCTTTTTGTTAAATATCTTAATGCATGGTTTTTAGTGACATTATTGGGCGGTGATTTGTTTTCTCGTCTGTTGAACCCTCAGTATTTCCCTAATGTCTAGAATTGCTTCGTGTTGAAAAGTTTTGTGAAAAATGTTAAAAAGCCACAGACTATCTGGTAGAAATGAGAAAGTTTCCACTGATTTTTCCACTAAGGAGTAAGAGGGGTTAGGAATGGGAAATTTTCTATTGATTTTATTTTAATACTCAATTTTCTGAATGTAGTTTTGTATTTACTGGTTTGGGGGATTATTACAGGTGTCTAAAGGTCCACAGCAGCATGAGGAAGCATCTCTTGGTCTGCTCTTTATCATATTAGTGGAACCGACAGCTGCACCGAAGGTTAGACTTCATAAATTTCTTGACTCCAGAGTGCTTAGTGCATTTTAATTGTCTTGGTATATTTGAAGAACATATTGTGTGAAATATGTGATGCTAAAGCTTGATACATGTATGTCTTGCATAAGAGCTGTTATTTCTACAATCACTCAAAGTATATCAGTATAATTATACTGAAAAAGTGGATAACATGGAGGGCCCACTCTGATTCTGCACTCAAACTATGAATATCCTTTGCTATTCACCACCAAGTAACTTGCATGGTATTTTTGCCAGAAAATATTGTAATCATTGTAGGAATGAATAAGTTAAAATAATCTTTTTTTTTTTTTCTGGTGGGGAGTTAAAGTGCAATGTGGTTGAGAAGCCAATCTTAATGTGTTAAACCTACTCATTGGTATCTCTAAAAGGCTTACAGAGATCTGACATGCATTACAAGAGATGGATTAAGTTTGATCATGACAAGGTTGATTGGCATTATTACAGAGAAGCTGACCAAGTTACTTGATTCTGTCAGAACACAGGTACATGTACAAGATCTTGTTTTTCAGTACATATCAGTCTGATATTTGTGGTATTGTTCTCACTGACCTTCACATTCCATCATTAGTTGATTATTCATGAGTGTCCTTTTTTTACAAATAAAGCTACTTGTATAATAAGTATTTACCACACATTATAGCGCTTTTTGTGCATGCTGAGTGGCTAGTTTGGAAGTGGCTAGTTTGGAAATGCTGAGTGGGTAGTTAGCAAGCACCATTCACCTCTTAGCAATTGATGAGACAAAATATTGTGTCAAGAGTTTAATTTCTGACCATTTTTCATTATATTGAAAGAGGTAAACTTATTTTTTGGTATCTGTGTGGTAACTGCTAAAACAATTATCTTTCTCGTTGTCCGTGAAAGTGGAGGATCAAGAATCTTTTATCTGCAAGGAGAAACACTTATACTATGTATTGTCATGATAATACATCTGGCTGTAATTAAGATGATATTGTCCATAGGTATTGTGGCTTTCTAATGAACTCATCAAGAGCATTGTCCCTGGTGTAGAAGGACTGTGCCAAGCTCTCCTTAGGCAAATATCTGGAGGTGATAATTCACCCTCAAATGTCTGGCTTGCAGAAAATGTCTTAGGATTGTTAAACACCAACAGGTGAACATTGTGATTTATTACTTGAGTGGTAAGAAGTACTTATGGTTGGTTCTAGACAGATGATCAGTCTGTTCATTTAGGATGCAAAATAAAGAGATACCTAATATATTTTTGTATCTGGTGGAAATATGCTTTGCGTCTGTTTATGTCTCACTAGTCTTACAAACCCTGTCCTAGATAAAGGATCATAGTTTCTAAAGAAACTGTTTGGGGCTGCGTCGGTGGGGGTAACAAAATAATTTAAATATATCAACAAAGTTGAAATGGTAAATTGGCCACCGTTACGATTATAAAAGCTGACGTTTCGAGCGTTTGCCCTTCATCGGAGCAAAGGGCTAACGCTCCGATGAAGGGCTAATGCTCAAAACGTCAACTTTTATAATCGTAACGGTGGCCAATTTACCATTTCAACTTTGTTGATATATTTAAATTATCCTGTCCTAGATACTTCCTTTTTTGGTTTCAGGCCTTACAGTGATCACTTATTAAAAACAGATGTTACAGAAATGTATTTTAATACAGTTTATAGTGCTCTTTGTCATAAGAAACCAATCTTACTTCAAACATACTTTATTAGTATGGGTATGAAACAACTAACCTGACGTGATACAGATAGTTATAATTGAGTACAAATTGACAGTCTGAAAAGTCTGTGGGTACAAAATGTCTGGTAATTTAAAGGTGATTAAGTTCAAAATCAAGAGGAAGTAAATCCTGTGTTCTGATTGGCCACCCAAGAGCAAGCAAAATTTAGCCCACTTTTGATTTGCACCTTTGGTCCTCTAGTAAAATATTGTTGAAGCCACTCGTAGGAAACTTTTTGCAAAACAGAAATATGTCATGCAATTTTCAAAACATCAAGGAAATGGTTGAAAATGGTGAAAACACAGAAAACTGCAACAAGTTTGATGAAGTTATTTTGAAATCCATTGATAAAGGTAGTCTTTTTACAATGTACTAAATCCTTTTATGACTAAGCTCATTCATGTAAGATAGTTGGATAGTGGTTGATAAAAAGGGAAAAAAAGATCCTGTTGAATATCTATCCGCTTGACTTCATGCTAGGTCAATAACGTTTAGCTATTTAAGGCATGCCTTGGTATGGCAGGATGCAGAGAGGAACTTCGTCCAGTTTGCTTATGAGCCAGAAATTGTAAAAAACAACTTGAAGTTTTGAAATTTAGAGGAAGTTTTCTGTCCTTTATGGTACTCACAAGAAATACATGTATCCCTCAATTTTTATAATGTACAGGTTAACATAAGAAAGTCATATTTTATGATAATTTTGTGTATTTTTTTTTTCAGAGCTTGGCTGGAGAAGAACCCTATACTGTTGGCTACTGCTGTGTATACATATCTCAGATTATTAGAGGATCATGAAGCAGCACCATTCAAGAACTTACGACAAATGGAAATTGAATTCTGTTCCTCTTTGCTGAAAGAAAGGGTAAGAAAAGGTCAAGTCTGAGAAAAACTTGAACTTAAATCACATTATACTGCCAAAATTCCAGTTAATAAAGATTTTTTATGAATAAGTGATCAAGTGTAAAAGTATAGTGTTACTGTACATCACCATGCACTCACAGTTGTAATGTGCAGCAGTCTCATTTGACCAGTAGAAGATTGACTACCCTTCCAGCCAAGTATAAAAGTAGGCATCTTCCTTCTGGTTATCCTTTGAATGTTCTTGACAGTTTGTAGACTGCATTCCTATTGGAAGAGACCTTGTGCGACTGCTTCAAAATGTTGCGAGGTATGTCAAAATTAATCTGTTATGCTGTACTTTCCCTGTTTGTTGCATACATGTACTACATGTGATATGAAACAAACTGGTCTACTTACTTGTTGATATATTTTACATAAAATCTGTTTTCATAAAGATTTTCCAACTTACTGATCACTTAAAGTCACTTAAGAAAAAGAGACAATAGGTTTCCAGAAACTCTAACTTTCATGGTGTTCAGGTGATCCTTTTGTTGGCTAATTAACTTGTCTTTTGACAATAAAACTTCTCAAATTGTCAACGAACTCATAGCTAAATACTTTGAACAAAGTAGTTTTTGGGGTAGTGTGATTTCTTGCTTTGATGGATTCACAAGTAAACGTAGTATAGTATATATTAATAATTAACAATTATTCACTGAAGAGGAGGCGAATAGTAGTGGATATTTACCGAGCCACAAAGCGGCAAGGTAAATATTCACCACTTTTAAGAACACTGAGGTGAATAATTGTTTTAGCACATAACACACAGATACAAAAAAATTAGTTTATTTCTTTTAATAAAATGGTCAGAAATTAAACTCTTGATGCACAATCTTGTCTCATTGGCTGCTTGGATGCAAATAGTACTTTCAGTTCACTGCTGAACTAGCCAATCAGCATGCATGAAAAAGTACTATTTATGGGAGTGGTTTTAATACTAATGTAGGCTATGAAGGCTATATTGGGAATCAATAACAAAAACAACTAGTGACACGTTGACATTATCTCAGTTGGTTGATTTTGCTTAGAATCCCCTAAATCAAAAGCCAATACTGGAAGTTGCCACATGAGCCAGACCACAACTGTTGGCTCTGTGGTGACAATAAAAGGAGCTAAAATTATAACAAGTAATTCTTTGTCTTGTGTTACAGAATACCAGAGTTCAATGCATTGTGGAAGGATATTGTGCACAAACCTCAGTCACTGTGTCCACAGTTTACTGGTATTTATGCTTCTTTTATTTTAATTTGTTTTTACTTTTCTCTGTTTAAGTGTAATGGTTATGAAATTACAACAGATAGCTTTGTAACATTTCTGGACCTGACTGTGAAAGTGTTGAAAAGCATTCTTTTCATGTTGAACTAACTGACCATTAGAGACATACAGGTATCATTAATTTGTCTAGTTGCAAGGTGTGAGCCACGACTGCATTTACAAGTTCACCATGTTCATTGATTAATCACATTTTTCAAAGGTATTGCTCAGTTGCTTCACACAAGAACTTCCAGGAAGTTCCTGGCATGTAGACTGCATCCTGAGATGGAGAACAAGATTTTGTTTTTAACATCTAAGGTACGGAAAGATTTTAAATTTATCAGCTGCCTGATAAATGTATACACAGTGTACTAATCAAGTAAATATCATTGACCAACAACACATCATAAAGTTTCCATGTGATATACACTGCATCCATTGAATGAGAGTTGTACAGGAGCACAGTGTGCATTTTGGTTTTTTTTGTTGTACAACTGTAGAGATTTTCTAAATAAACTGACCAATCCTTTGTGCTCAGTAATCAGAAACCCATAATTACAGCTACATGTACAAATGGTAAATATGAAACATACCTTCTAAGTGCAATATAAATGTTACTAGACTTACATGAACAGAGTATTATAAATGAGATTTTTTCTTCATTACTGACAGGTTAAGTTTGGTCAGCAGAAAAGATATCAGGACTGGTTTCAAAAGCAGGTCAGTCTAATTGATTGTACTGTCTGTTATCATTTTAAATGTGGAACAACAATCACCTTGAAGAGCATGATTGACATTTCTATGAAATTACAATTATAATTGTTTGTTAACAATAATTGTTAATTAACTCCCAGAAGTGATTAACATTTAACATCTCCTTATATTATAATACGCATACATTATTCAGCAAACAGGTGGAAGTTATTGTCTTGATAAAACACCAAATTCTCTAATCTAATTTACAAGGAATGTGTAGGAGCAAAGCGGATAAAGTTAACAATCAGATCTTGGAAGTTAAAGGGTTGATAATTATTTCTCTTCATGGAATTGACTCGATGATAACAATATTGATTAAGATATTGATACTGCATTTTATTTCAGTATCTGTCCACTCCTGAAAGTCAGAGCCTACGGGCAGATCTGATTCGCTACATTATCGGTGTAGTCCATCCTTGTAATGAAGTGCTGTGTTCTGATATTATACCAAGATGGGCCATCATTGGCTGGCTTTTGACATCTTGTCAGGTTACAAGTATTCTCTATAATTTTGATAAGTGTATTATATCAGGGAGGTGTAACTATCATTAACCAATACAGTGATCTTAATATTATGGTCTTTACAAGATGCATTACAGCTTTTTCAAAAATTGCTTTTAATTTTATCATCCTTTACTTACTCTGAAATCATACCTCCAGCAACCTTGGAGTTTCCAAATGTCATTATATTAATTTAGTTTCAATGTACTCATTATTTAAGGTGTCTCAGACAGAGAATAACACTCTACTCTAATTCTACCAGTTTTCACTGTTGCAATATCTCTTCTCTGATTATTAAATGCTGGATTTCTTGTTCCAGACTGCAGTTTCTACAGCAAATGCTAAACTTGCCTTGTTCTTTGACTGGCTCTTCTATCAACCAGACAAAGATAATATTATGAATATTGGTAATGTAAATTTTTTTTTTTACATTGCTGAGTTTTGCCCTCTGTACCTTGTAGAGGTAAATGAATAAAAAGTGGATTGTGATTTTTGTAGAAAGTAGCAACTTGCATACTGTGAAAGGTGTGAGGGATTCTTAAAAATCAAAAAGCAAATGTACATAATTTATACATAGATACTGATGAATATATTAACCTAGAGGAGGTTTCTTCATGTACGTTTTGCAGTGATGTATCTACAGGGTAACCAGGTAAATTTCTACACTCAGCCAAATTAATCTTTTTTCCAATGTTATGATTTTGATTTCCAGAACCTGCTATTTTGTTGATGCACCATTCCATACGAAGTCACCCAGCAATCACAAGTACCTTGATGGACTTTCTCTGCCGGGTAAAATTTATTTTTACACCATTTGATTTCTTTCACACTTTTATTAGTCCTATTAGAAATTTTTGAAAATTTTTGCTAGAAATAAGGATATTCATTAAAATTAATACCTACTGATAATACATGTGTTATACTTGATCTCTGTTGTAATGGGAAGTGTGTCATAAGAAACTTTCAACTGAAAAAAAATCATATACAGTTACAGTTTTTTTTTTGTTTGGTAAGATAGTAAAATGGATGTACTCTTTTCACCAGATTATTCAAAATTACAGCACTTTACCTGATGTTCAAGTTAAACAGGGAGTTATCAAAGCATTTCGGCATATTCTCAGTAAAAAAGTTGTGATGTAAGTAAACTTGGATGACATGTTTACATTTCTTCCCCAAGTGCAGTCTGTCTGTAATCCACATATCTATCCAGAGGTGGCGAAGCACTTTGAAAAAATTGGGGGGCTCATCCAGTATGCCAAGCCAAGTGTATACCCCTTTAATGTCCCCATCTTGAACACAGGCTATAGCAGGTGCTTTTCAAATGAAAAAAGTCTGAGCATAATCCAGATAAAAAAAATTCAAAAGATTGCAAGACTGACTACTTTAAAATCTACATTTAATTTTATGCTGTGCTAGCAACATGGATAACACTTAAAGTGGGGTGGGGGGGGGCAAACCCCTAAATTTTTGCTTGAGGGGGCTGTAGTGCCCCCTTGCCCGCCTGCTCTGCCACCTATGCTATCTATCGGAGGGTTAAGTGTACTACATGACTCTCTGTTTCTATCTAGCTGTCTGTTTGTCAGTTCCCTACTAGGTAAGTAATTTTAATTTAACTTGCTTATTGAGCAAGCTCAAAGTTAACAGTTTTCCTTGAGCTTCCCTTTGGAAAACTATTCACATCTCACAAACAGTTAATATCCACAGACAAATATCCATACATATTTTTCAAATGGAGGCTATTGTTTATATATTGTTGACCTTTTTTCTGAAAAACAGCAATTTATGATCTTCAGCTGATGTCAGAAATATCCTTGAGGGCTAAGCTAGCGAAAACTTTTAAATTGTCCCAGGCACTAATGGAGTTTGTAATGATTATTTCTCTCAAGCTAGGTCCTTGTCCCCTTTGTTTGACAACCCCAAGATGGACAGAGACCTTAGAAGTTTGATAAGAAACACTTTGGCTGAGTTCTGTGATTCAGGTACTCTTTCATTGACTTGCTTCTCTCTGTGAAAATCATTTCAGCTTTGTGTGTACTGACCTAGAAATGACTAATTGTTTTGTTTTGAGACCAAAACCAAAGCATCCATGTGAAGAGCTACACATGTATATGTAAGTTTGGGCTCATGTTCATAACATTTGCTGTCAAAGTCAAAATCTAGCAAAGCTAATGAAAATGGCTCTCAACAGACTTCATTGTGAGTGAGTGTAATGATGTCAGTTATAACACCTCCCATCAGTGCTGTAAATTTGGGTAATAAAAACGTGTTATTAATTTGAAATTAATGGCTGAGCATTTATTTTTAGAAATGTATGGTCATCATCACTGCATAACAGCTTAGCAATTATTACCACAAAAAGCTTGTCACCAATTTGCAGGTTCAAAACTTGAAGAATCTTCAACATCAGCATTCAGCAAAGTTGAGAGCTCCTCAGCTTCTTCATCAAGTGACATGCTCAGTTCATTGGGATCCAGAATGATGGAGGCAGACACAAGCAGCAGCTCAAAGGACACTGAATTGGCAGACAGTGGGGTTGATGAAGAGCTGGAGCCACCTGATGAAGAAGCTGTGTTCTCTGACCCTGATGAGGACGAGGATGGTGACATGACAGCAGCCAGCAAATCAGAAAATAGTAAAGAGAAGGACTATGAGTTTAAACCAATTGAAAAGGAAGTTATAGACGAGAATGAAGAAAGAGACAGTAATGAAGACATCACTGAGCTGGAGGATCTTGAGAATTTGGGAGATGATCTGAAAGAGCTGGTCATTAAATTCTCTCAACAAAGGTTGGTATTGCCATTTTTGTTTGTACATTGTTGCAGTAATTATGGGCAGGGAGGTAATCAATCATAGCATTTAATTCATTTTCTAGGTATGAATCTTAGTTGAGTACTAAAATGATTAAAGTGCAAAGCAATTAATGTTTCATTTCCTTTTTGCAGCGATCCAGCAGTGCGATCCAACATAATGGAAGATATCCTTAAATGCATTGCGTCCCTGGTGAGTCGGTTAAGTCTCCAAATTAAGATGTTCGACTTGTAAAAATTGTGTTAAAGCATCGTTCCAGGGTCCTGCTGCATCAAAAGGAGTGCATGATACTGATAGTATTTAGTGATAATTATCAATTTGTCAAATAACCTCGCCCTAAAAATTGAAAATTGCCCTAATTAGACTTTACTTTCAGTCTTTCGTTTTTCTTGACATTATCCGTTGATTCTGATTTAAGTTACTTGTCTTTCAATTGTCACTTGTCTTTTACCAGGATGAATTTGAAGATGAAACAGCAAAATCTTTAGCTGTTTGTCTCAACTTTTGCTTGATAGATGAACTTATGACTCCTTGTTTCTCAAGAGAAAGGTAAACATTTAAAAAAAACTCTGGTTGGTCAAGAACATACAGTCAATATACAATAGCATATGAAGTTTTTCAAACTCAGAGAGTCTTCTTTTGCAGATTGTTTTTAAAAAAGCATAATAAAACAATTATTGAATTCGGTGCTCGCATATCCGGCATCAGCTACTGAGCCTCGTGTCTGTGTTATCTGCCTCAGCCAACGGTTGATAACTCAGAACTCGGCATTGATTATTCATGATATCATGCTAAACCTCATCCAATGATTGCTAAATGTTGGTTTTCAAATGTAGAACGTAATGCTTTTTAATCGTGGATTACCTGACGCGAATTGTCAGAGCCTGTTTTTTGTTGTTGTTGTTGTTGTTGTTGTTGTTGTTGTATTTGGATCACCAGCCATTAGCAAGAGAATTGAACTCTTACCGAACGTACTATTTTCAATCAGACCAAAGTGTTGACAGTTTTTTACTTGTGTATAAAATCCCGAAAACTTTGCTATTATTTTCAGGAACCCGGAGGACAGTCTAGATGGGCCAATCTATGTGCTATGTCGGTGAGTACCAGATGTCTTGCCACAGTTCATTCCTGCCCACCTTACCAACATGCAAAACCAATGTTCATTTTATACTTCAGGAGTATCTGTGTGCTTCCCACCCATGATGTTGGTAGAGAGAGACACCTGACATTGCTAGGAGCTCTACACACAGTGGATCAAAAGTTTGGCTATCGTTTTCTCTTCTTTCTAAAAGCAAGGTTAGAGAACTACTTGTTCCGTATTCTTTATCCTTGGTTTCTGCTTTTGTTTCAATAGTTTTAACAGACGGATGATGGTGATGAAATCTTGATGTTTGTTTCAAGTATCTGGATGTCTGTTAACTTTGATAAAATGCAGTATTGCGCTATTTTGCTGGAGGCTCTGAAAGTTATTGAAAGTCCCGTTCAGGTGAACCAGTCGCTTTCAATGTGTAGACCAAATTTCAACAAAAAACTGAATGAAAGAAGATATCACAAAGAGCCAATGACTGCTGAACAGAAAAAAAAATAAACAAACAAACTACCTGAAGCGCCAGAAAACGCCAGCGACCTTGTCTTAATGGACTGGTTTGTATTTGATCGATGAAGTGGCAAACACGAGGTTTCTACATGAGTCACAGAACCAGTGCAGTCCTCAAGTACTTTCCAAAACCTGCTCTAACCTTTTGTCGCTGTGATAGTGTTACAGATGATGAACGGCTCACAATATACGAGGACTTTGCGAACACTTTCCGAGGAGAGAAGACACTTCAAGGATGCTTAAGTGAAGATCTGAAGGTCTGGCGGTAACAACTGTTTGTGATCAGTGCTGTTATACGTATGATGCACGATCCTCGAACTGCTTTTCTTAGCTTCATTTTAAAGTTGTTGTTGTTAATTTATGCAATCAGGTTTGTCAGGATTATGATGTCAAGGCCTTCCGCTTTATCATTTCCTCCATTTACAAAAAGGTAGGTGCCGCAAACCTTTGCTAGCACGAAGCAAACTACCAGTACAACCAGGAAAACAAGTCATGATCCAGTGACAAGAAATGATTCCCATCGAAAGCATTCTGCTCTTGCCATGTTTCAAATCGTATTTAAGATTGACTGCGCTGAGGAATAGTCTGCGAATTTTGACCTTGAAATCAATCTTTACTGACTGCCGCCACTCAGTCTGTTTAACCGTTTACACCTTGACATCTGTATACATATTCCCCATACTGTTCTCTATACATTTCTAAAGGTGCTGACAAGGAGAATTTGTTTAACAATCGAGCTTATTTAGTTGGTGATCATTTCCTTTATTCTCGTAACTTTAATGTTTGATTCCTGGGTGATATTGCAAGGAGATATGAGATGATAATCACTCTCGAGGGTCGAAGAGTTAAGGCGCTCAGGTGTTGGAGAAAAGTGATACAGCGGGCGAGCGTAAAACCACGGTTATTTTGGAAATTGTGACGTTTTTTCTTCCTTTTCACACATCCTCATTTCTAGTTCGCCTTCTTTTTCGATCGTTTCCACCGACAGAAAACTCGGAACACATATGTAGTTATTGGCATAAGATGGTGAAGTGTTGTTCACTGGTTAAACTAAGAAGAAACTCCTTTCCCAAGTATCTGCGAGATAACTGAAGAACTATATAACCTTTTGACTTCGTAACGTTTTTAGTTTCCAGAATATGTTGTTGGAAACTCTGAAGTTCTTCACATGCTTGTTGGAACCATGGAACCAAGACAGGTAAAAATGGCGAAAAAAGTAAAACATTTCATTTGTAGTGCAGTGCAGTAATTATTTTATGCGCTCAGCCTTTAAAACTAAACTAAATGTGTCCTGGGATGCAAGGCACTTTACGCTGATTACTGCAAATTTTGGTTGTTTCCTAGCCGCTCTCTGGTTTGTCACGTAACCGTTCACCTAAAATCATTCCAAATGACAGCTGCGACACTTAAGAAATATTCAATTTTCATCGCCTCTCTATTTTGGCTTGTTCTGTGTCTATCCGTCTTTTGTCTGCCTGCCTTATAGTCAACTTCGTTTCTTTTCTTTGTCGGGTTTCCAAATGACGCTAGTTCCTGTTTCCTGTGGGGCACATGATAGTTTCACTTTCGTAACAGTTGTCACTTCTGTAGCTGTCTGATGTGTTGAAAACGTTTTAACTCCTTACCCATCCCTCCTTCCTTTTCTGTGCCTCTTCCGATTCTAAAGAGCTGTCTTTATCGTTTTACAGTTAAACCAGCTGATAAGTGAGATAACATTGGGAGAATTGACAATATTTGGAGAGGATAGCAAACTTGACACCTTGCTAGGTAATTGAAATACATGGCATTCCTTCCTTCTCAGGGGATTAGTACTCTGCCTTTAATTTAAAGGTATTATGGCTGTACAAACTCCACCAGTTACCTTTGTCCAATGCATTTCATGAATATTAATCAAATTTTAAAAAGTTTGTGTTTAGTGTGGCTTTATTTTGTTCTACGTTCTATGATAGGAGACGTTAATTTCCCACACACGAGATTACTGTGTGATGAATGTCATCCCCTGGGGTGGGATGGGTGGGAGGGTGGACTAGCACGAGTGGTTCCTATGTTCCTTTCTACTCCTGCCCCACTGCAAAACTTAATGCAGTTAAAATGGACTAAATTAAATATGATTGGTCCAATCGCGCCACCTTATCACCGATCAGATGCAATTTGTCATTGTTCTTTCTTTTTTTATCTATCTATTTATTCATTTGCCACAAAAACGTAAGAGTTGTTTTTATCAATCTGGCAATAATTGCCTAAGGGAAGAAACACTGCACGAGGAGAATTTGGTTTTATCAACTGAATCGATAATTCAAACTGGTCACCGTAAAGAGTTTCTAAGCTGAAGTAACGAACGTTAACCTTTCGTCAGAGGAATAGTGGACATCAGTCTCCCAAGAATGAATTAAGGAATAAGTCAGGGAAGCCCAACAGGAGCTGGAAAAAATCTATGTAACTGAACACATTGTTTATTTCACTTGTGTATAGAGAGCACTCTAGAGTGGGAATCATTCGAACAACAGTGTGTGTGGCACCTTATCCAAGCTGAGGATGTGTTGCTGGAGTCATTTGTAAATATTCTTCCTTCACTCAAAAAGGATCAGCATGCAGAGGCTTTGTCAAACTTACTTATTCTCATGAAAAGTGTTGCGTAAGTCTCCTCACCATCGGCCTTGTTTACTGACTGTCGATGTATGCTTCTACTGATAGTACATGTCAATCTGCACTCAGTACATGGTCAATGTTTCACGTCGTTCCGGCCGTCGAAAGTCTGTTGAAATGTTTTTGTTTTTTTTTTTTTTCATTTAGGTTTGGCTTTAAAAATCATGTGTCAGTCGAAATAGCTTATTCTTTTATAAGAAGGTTTTACTTTGACTGTGATCGTGAAACATTAAGGGTCGGTTGAACGATGTGGTTAATGGTAGATAGCACGAGGAGTAATTGAGAAACAGATCAACATTCAAGAGTGGGATTGTCTGGTTTTTTAGATTCGAAAGGTATTGACAGGTGGGGAGTGGGGGATAAAGTTAATCGTAAGTAATTTCGGATTATTTCCCTTCTCAAGCTAAAACTGCTTGGCTACAAATTGACACCTTGTTGCTGTCACTGTCTAAAGCGATTTTGATTTTGGTTTCAAAAGTAATCTGGGATCACGTATTTTTACCTTTCTTCGCCCAGTGATTGGTCCAAAAAACACACGCTACACTTTCGACCAATCAGGCACAACTGAACTTCAACCAATCGAAACTTTGGGTTACCACTGACTTCTTTTAAGGCTTGCGGTAAATATTATGGGATGTTATATGTTTCGATTATTGTAATTTGTAGGCAGATTTGCAATGATTTTTGGTTTAACTGTACATTGATCACTGAGTACGAGGGTTCTTAAACATGTTGGGGTTGTGCGAGTTGCAATTGGAGCCAATCATTTCTAAGTTTCTCTAGCTCGAATACCTCCCACCTCTTAATGATCAGTTTAATATTTGTTTCAGTCCATCAGCGGATCTTGTTATTCCAGTCTTATCTATGGAATGCTCCGAAAAAAGACCTGGAAACCAGTTTAGCGTTTCGCTGCTGATATACTGGGCACAGGAATACCCAAGAGAACTTGCACAACTGATTGGCCAACAGCTCTGTAAACAAGCTTCAGCAAGCAAAAAAAGAAAGTAATGCAGCATATTCACGCTATTTTGTTTTTTTGTTTTTTTTTTTCGGTTTTGAGCATTCGACACTTAATCGAAACGTCTAGTGATAACTTTTGCTTTTTAACAAACTGTTACTGGAGAAGGATGATGTTATTCAGTGAATGTGGCAGGCCATACTAGGAGAAAAAAAATGTCCGAGTGCTTTCAGAAGGAGTGGAACTTATGACCCCCCGATTAGTACTGTCAGATGCTCTACCAATTTTAGCGTGGCCCATATTGACAAACTTCCTGTATACTGCTAGGATAGGAGTGTCGATATGTAATGTTTCTGTGCAATGATGAGGTAACTCGTGTATGTATTTCAAGGGAACTACATCTGCGAGTTTCTCTTCACTAATATTTTGCCATGTTTCATCCCAGAGGTGCTAAAAGTCAGCTAGGCACAAATTTGGAACTTGTACTTAGCCATTTGGACTGGCTTCATAAGATATGCCAAGAGCAAGAGGATCTGAGCTGTGAGTAATGAGCGTTGTTTTCATCATTTCACAGCACTGTTCAATTAGCTGGTAATGCGAAACAACTGACTATTGGTTAAGTCTGAGAGACAACCATCTATACTATCAAAAGTTTTCCCATAGTATCTTCGCATCACTTTAAAATGTTATGGACATTGTTTTGAATGGTATGTTATCATTTCTGTCATTACAGATCTAGACTTATGGTGTCAAAAGTACATAATTCTAAGTAATAGTGTTTAACTAAAACTTCTGGCCTGACTAGGGGCGTAGGACTGGTATTGACGCAAGATTAAGCCAAAGTGACCAATAAAAATAAAGTCACGTGATCTACAGTTGCACCAATTATTAGCATCTTATTGCTTCTGTATATGTTGTTGTAGTCAAACATTGTGTCGCAATGAGAACAAATCCTTATTAATGGACTGCTGCTCCGAAAAGATTGGCTGTTGGAATAGAATGGTCGTGGTGTTCTTTGAGGCTGTGTCACTAAGCTTTCATTATTAGTTAGTGGGCATACCAAGAGAAAATGATGGAACAGAGAGGGAAGCTTCTGGTCTTCTAGGTCTTTCAGTACATCAGTTTCACTGAAGTTATTTATAGATAAAGTGGTTTTCTTTAATATCAGCATGTAATCCTGATCTGATAAACTGAGAGAAAGGAATGCCACGATCAACAGAGTGGAGAAAAGTTTTGTTTATGAAAAAGACTGCTAGAAGTATTTTAGAAAATCTTACTTAAGCTAGAATGTCCGAGGAAGCGCGGAGACCTCTGTTTACATCTACAATTTGAAAATACCTTAAGGGGTTCGACTTATCCAAGCTAACGCCCTGATTTTCCTTTTCTGTGTCCTTATTTTCCCTTGATTTGACCTTGTTAAATTTTGTTCTTGATTTTATGTCGGCAGTTTTCAAACACGACGGTCTGAGATCTGCTCTAGATCAAGTCAAGCAAACTGCAAGCGAGGCAAGAAAAAGCAAGTATGTTCACAATTTTATGTTTGACTCGGTTATTTATACTCTAAATACTGGATTTTATGCGATGCTAACTTACACACAAGCCCCAGGAGAGCGTAGTCGCTGTTTTTTGACACTTTGCGATCATAAGATTGAAGTTGTCATTGTTGGTTTGTTACAGGTTTAAGTTGTTATTTTCAATGTGTGAAGATAAAGATACCAGGAAAAGGACTACACGAGCATCCATTCTAGCTGCCAACAGGGCAGCATCTTCTTCTTCTGAGAGTGAAGAGGTGAGCCAATCACTTTTGCATACTAGTGATGATGATGACTACTCTTTCATCGTCATTATTAGGGACCTTACGCAAACCACGATGGCGACGGTAACGAGGACGTAGCAAAACAAAAGATTCACTGAACAGTATAAGAATGGACAATAAAAATAGCTGCAGCAAGTGCGTTTTAAAACTTAGTACATTTCTTAGCCGTCCTCTGCAGAATAAACAACGTGAAATCATGAAACTTTGCGAGGAATTCAATGCTGCTCACATAATTTGTGACGAAGATGAGGTATGGCGCCCATAGAGACGGTAATCACATCCACCAATTCCTGAAATACTTAAGAAAAATGTACATTCAATTTTGAGCTGACGTTCTCCTCTCTGGTGCCGTTTCGTTTACTTAAGTCCCTGTCATTGTTAAATAGACCAATGGGCTGAAAAAAAAAATTATTAGAAATACGTGTAAATGAGTGTGACTTTCCTTCTCTCATTTACAGGAAGAAGAACAAGCAGTGAAACCTCGCAACGCTAAGCGCCGAAGGAAAACCAACAATACTGTCGAGTCAGACAGTGACGAATAGTGAAGAAAACTGATCGCTCTCTAGCTGTTGTGTTCTCGTGGATTTCTTTATCTGTTAGAGTTAGTAATAACGGCAGCATCGACACAGAAGGAAGGAAATTTTTCGGCTCCTGGAATGAATTAAACCGGCTGCGGTAAAACTCGGACTTGAAAAAGACGTGTTCATTGGAGGTGTAAAACTTGCAGGGCTATAGAAATTGCGCGGGCAAATGAAATTTGCTTTGGGAAAGCCTCTGCAGTGGGGCAAAAGTAAGTGGGACTGTTTCATCCTGCAAGCTGGTGAAACCATAGATCTATAATGTAGAGTTACTGGTCATCTCAGTCCATTCAAAAAGTAGAGAGCATATTTACCCATTACCACTTTCTCAAGTTGGGGTGTCCCAGTAATAACTCTCGAGCTTTACTGCCCTAATATTCCTTTAGGGAAAGAAAACACTTTCTTCTTTATACAGTAGTATTTTCATCCATCTTCCTTTCAACTGAATGTACAATATCTGCCTCAGACTGGTATTTTTATTACTAGAAAGGATTGGAAACTCGATATTCGATTGCATCTCTGTCTTTGCGGAAGATTGAGTACTGATTCACTGGAATTTTTCTTACACCAAGTGGAGTTAAAAACAAAGTTCTTGTTACATTTCATAGAACTGATGTCACTTTTTCATATTCTGTAAATGACAACATCATTAATTTAGGAGTTGAGTTTGGGAGGTGTTCTGCAACCTTTGTTCATTAAATATTGTCTTCTCTTGAAATTGTGATTAAAACTTAACAGAACCAGTTGACTATTCGCTCCTTTCCTCGGCATGCTCTTCTTCGCAAGCTGCACAATAGAAGAACACGAAACGTATTTCGGTCACTACTTCACGTTAACTCCTTGACCTCTGCTCCGCACATTATCACCCCTCAAACCACACATTAAGGTCAAGAGAATACAAGAAATGATCCGGCACCAAGTAAAGGGGGTGTTACTTGATAAATAAGTTGTGGTCAGCACCTTGGGAAATGTATAGAGAATAGCACTGAGAATGTGCACACTGATATTAGGCTGTAAAGGTTTCAACAAGATACAAAACAGTCAGAAATTACTTGTTAAACTTTTCAACAAATTACACTAAATTATGGCTGATTTTGCGACGTTCCTAATTATCTACATCCTGTTATGTTTTGTTTCTTCAAAACTCAAATTGAATTTATCGCGTATTGTGCGCCACTGCAGAGTTCTCATGGTCGACGCGCTTTTAAAAGCCCTGGCTCGATATGTGTTTTTAGCGACAAAAATAAAAAAATTCGGAGCGCCTTTCTTACAAGAGGGACATCATTAAGCTTGGTGTTACCAAACTCAAAACAATATGCCATTTATGGAAAACGTTAAATGTACTTGATTTTCTTGTTCTAAAGTTAGAAGGTGATAGAATTGGAGGAAAAGATGGCAGTCCTTTGAACAACAATACCTAGGTAAGATATCTATTTCTTCCAACTTTGATTCAGGCTGTTGGTCAGTGCGGACCGACGCAGGAGTGAGTGGGCGAATAAAACGCTGGAAACGGCCGATGCTTTTCCTCATATTTCGTAAAGAGCCCTCGTGGTTTTTTGCACCTCGACCTTAAAAAAGAACTCTGCTTTAGCAAAATCACTTTCGCTTTCAAATTCCAAATTTCAATTTTCTCCTTCCTCTTCCCACTCTGTATTATATTTTGGCGTTCAGGCATGGCGCGCGTGATTTAACAAATTGACCAATCACGTCAAAAACTTTAACTTGACATTGGAAACTGACGTGGACATTTCTAGCGCGTATCTTTGTTGCTCTTTTTTTTTCTTTTTACGCAGTGATTTTTTTTTCGGAGTTAGTTTGGTCGTTGTTTTTGAGTTTTCGTTTACGCCAATTTGTTATCCCTCAGTTTGGAATCTTAAAAAGTTTTTGCAGTTTTTATTCAAGCCAAATGTTCTGGTTACCTTAACAAGTTAATCCATATTTTCTAGGGGGTTTGGACTCTAGCCTCTACCTTAAAAAATCCACTGAAAGAATCAGTTAACAAAATGAACGAACTTCGCATCTAGCAAAGAAAAGGACGAGTCCTTCCAGACCGAAATTAAAGACTCAAACTCTGGTTACAAGGGAACGGAGACATAAGATTCAGAGGGATCTTTCCTAAAAGATGTTAACTATCTTTTTCAAAACATCCCTCTGACTTTTTTAGCGTACGAGACAAAAAAATCTTTTCAAAAAGAGAGGAAACGAATGCTCAGAATAAACTGAGTAAAGCTTAGGCGGTCATTTTAAATCCCCCTAAAGGGATGAAGGCCTATGAAAGTAAGTCTAACATCTAAAGTCATTTATTTATTCTTTTTTTTTGGTATAAGTGACTAATCACAAAACGTGGCTAGACTTCATTGCTGATGACTCCAATCAGAAAAATTATAATAACCGCATATAAGCGAGAAAGGTGCCACGAAACCATCGAACAGCAAGATGTAAAAAGATTGAGAATATTCATTTCTTACAAAACACATGGCTGAAACTGATGTCAACCGCCCTTACATTTTATGCAAAATTATTTACGTTCAACAAAATTATTTCATTTCTGGGTCGTAGCCAAGAGATTTGCGCGCTTAAATTCAATTTGTTTTACTTAGAGTTAGTCTCAGCAAAGTGTTGTTTAAAGAAAGTCATTTTTGAAAGCCCATCCTGAATAAAACTATTCAATTTCAAATAAAAAGAACAAAGCGAGCACCTTCACGCTCCTATAACAATCCCTGTCCAGGAAATGAAGCTGTTTTGCATCCATTTTGTGAACGTTGACATTTGGACGATCATTAGAGAATATGCAAAGATGAAGAGGAAGTAAAGGCCTAAAAGAAAGGGTAAAAAAATAACGAACAAATCAAATAAAAATATAGAAATACACTAGGAACCGAATTGTTCTAAATTATCAACTCTTCCCTGCGTGGTCAACTTTGGGAGATTTAACTGCGCTGGAAAAGAAATTAAAAAATGACTGAGTAAACTAAAAAAATCTTCAGCCGACTTCAAAACTTTCTCTGTTACGATTGACCTTCAATAGTCCATTTTTTTTGGCAACACAAAATTAATCAAATATAAGTTTTATAGAAAACCTCGAAGGGTTCGGCCGAAAACAATCTGAGATACTTCCAAAATGAGCTTCGTTGGTATCATCTCTGAGGAACGTAACTCTGTTGCTGACAACATGTAACTAACTAACTGCCTTACTGACTAAATGGTATCCCTTGTTTTTTTATTCATTTCAGCGACTCTCTCTGTATCAAAGGAGACAATCAGTGAGAAAGAAGAAAAAATCAAACAGCTTACGTCTCAGAAAGAGACTTATAAAAATGTTGTAAAAACTATGACCGCTGACATTCGACATTACAACAAGCAACTGCAGAGAGCTACAGATGATGTTGACAAAATCAGAGAAAAACTGGAGTTTTGTCGAGGTATGTGTAACTGACACTTGGCATTCATATCAGGCAAAAAAAATTATCAAAACACGATTTTTTTCCCAAAGGCGGCTAGTTGTTCGTCATCATTGTGTCCATCAAAAAGAAAAAAAAAAACAAGAAAAAAAAATCCACACGAACAAGAAAAGACGTCTAAAAATTATTGAATGAAACTCAGCGAAATAATTGACTATTGTCAAATGGGAGACTAACCAAACTAGCCGCTCGTACAATCTCTCTGATTAGATTTTTTCTTAAAATTTCTTCGGTATTAGGAAATTTTCTTTGCTCGCTCAACATCAAAACAAAATAGAGATGATGTGTGATTAATTTGAGTCAGCGGGAACATTTGAACCAAAATCAACTGAAGTCACACGCACAAGCCACACACACATTGCCTCTGTGACGCAAACATAGTCCTCGCCCGGCCCATTCAAGTCCGTAAATAACGCTATCACTAGTAAAAGTTTCTTTTTTCTACTTGTTGGGATACTTACAAAACTTCAAGTTTAAGTTGTTTGTTTTATTGCCATTTTTCAGCCGATAACTCTCAACTGGTTAGACAAAACAATTTCCTTCAGAACCAGGTCGAAGAATTGAAGGAAAATCTGAAAAAAACAAGTGATGACAATCAGAAACAGATGATTGAGATGGAAACAACGGTGGTGAATGCCGAAACAAAGCTGAAGGAATTGTCAGGTAACAGTTTTTTTTCTCATTATTTTACGACTTGCGGGAGTAATTTGAAATATTTGTTTTATTGCCATTTTTAGCCGAGAAGTCTGAGTTTGTGAGACAAAATAGGCGCCATCAGAACCACGTGAATAGATTGGAAAGCTAAATAGTCCTGCCATCAATCTATCCGGTTATGAAGGCAACCAATCAAAACATTGTCAAGTGGCAGTTTATTTCGCTTTTTTCCACTTGAAAGATTGTTTTCTGTTCTTAAAGTCTTAGTTACTGCCGATAAGTCCGAATTGTCCGAATCTCAGCCGATAAGTCCGAATTGTTAACGAAGAAAACTTGCCTTGAGGACCAAATTGTTGAAATAAAAAAAAAACCGCTTTTTTTTTCATGGCAACAATTTGTACCTCAAGCCGGTGGCTAATGCCGAAGCAAATGTGAATTGTCAGGTGACAATTTATTTCGCTTTTTACCACTTGAAAGAGTGTTTTCTGTTCTTAAAGTTTGATTTATTTGTTTTATTGCCATTTTAGCCAATAAGTCCAGCTTTTTTAACGACGAACAGTTGTTTTTGTTTTTGTTGTTTCATTTGCATGAGCCTGATTTTCAGTTCATAAAGTTTGAATGATTTGTTTTATTTCGCTTTGCAGAAGTTAACTCTAAGTTAGTGAAACAGATCAGTTTCCTTCAGAATGAGGACAAACAGATGCAGTTTGATCTTCACGAAAACAGAAATAGGGAGAGGCTTGAAGAAAAACTTGAAATGATTAACCAATTGAACCGTGATCTGAACAAAACATATACTGAGGCGACCGTAGAAATACTAGGTACGTGAAGCGATCTCATCTGTTTAATTATGAGTAGCATAATCTCATTTATGAGGCATGAAACGCGTCATGTGACCGAATATGTTCCAACATAAAGTGAGGAATATCTATTGGTCTTCCGAAGAGGTGATACCAAATGGTAGAACCTTACGTCCACTGTAATGAAGGTCCTGCTATAAATTTTGATCAAGTTGGAAGGAGTTTTTGCCATCATTAGTGATGAGGGGATGAGCTTGTTTGTTAAATGATTAACAAGAAAGTCACCACAAGGCTTGAAAGTATGCAGGCATATTTGTGCTTTCAGTGATGATATCTGTTCTCCTAAAACTAACAGTTTTCCTCAAAATTTCCTTCTCGGACCGAATGTTCGCCCTATTCTGATACATTTTCGCGCCAAATAGAGGATGCAATTCATATAACTCAGCACAGTTCATAAGCTGGTATACGTAGAACAGAATCCGATGAACATTTTCACTAACGGTTTTAACTATAAGTCAAGAACTCTTATTGAGACAAATATCAAAATTTCCCGTTTTCTAATTGTTATTTCATCAGATAATTTACACGGACTTGACAGCCGAGAATAATTTCAAATTGACATCATTGAGGCTTGCTTTGAAAATTATGATAATCATCAGGGTTAGTGGAATGAAAGCATAAATGAATTGGTAGTCTTCATGGAACTTTAGACTACAAAAGAAGTTTACATTACGTGACGGTTAAGAAATTTTGTATGGATATACTGCGTTCTCAGCCAATGGATTTAGTCGAACAGATCTGAATACTTCAACGACTCTCTAAATGTGT